CCTCACACGCCCACGCACACACACACACACACACACACACACACACACACACACACACACACATGCAGCAGCACTGACAGGTCTGCAGAAAAAGAAAACGTATAAGTGCACAGCAGTACATGGAGAAGTAAGCAATCATGTTGAACCAATAACTGAAATACAGTAAAATGAATGCTCATGTGGCTGCAAAGCAAGACTAGAAAAACTTTAGCTGGACCATGGGTGCAACCTGTTGGTATGACACACCGGAGTTACCAGGGCTCGCTGTTATCACACATATTGTGTTTGACTGAACCCGCTCTTTCACACCCACTGAACCAACTCAGAGCGCAACAGCTCTTTCCAGGAAAAAGTTTCTAATGCGTGCCAAAAATAGTCCCTCACTTTTAGGGTCTTTCTGAAGTCACTTCCTCATTCATCACAAGGAAGTTTAGAAAGGGTGAGCGAAGTGCAACCCTCCTGTGAACACTCATATTCTGCAGGCTACATGAGGAGTCATAATAAGAGGCTATTAGATTACATAACACACTGAATGCACTGAGGAAATCTTATCTCTAAAGTTTTGATATTGTGTCATTCATCAAGTAGTGAGTGATGTTGTTATCTCTGCACTCATTGTCCTACAGACAGCCTTACCTCTCAGTGCGTCTCCATTGGACACATCACAGGGAATAAAGGTGCAGTTGCCCTCTCCAAACTCGGCGTCCAGCTGTGCCTTGCATTCTTCGCCACAGGTCTTGTTGAGGTCGACCACTGCCACCTGAGCCACAAACTCTGTTAATGAGCTGGACCTTTTAAATTCACACACGCACACAAGCACGAGCACCACACACACGCGCGCGACACACAACACACACAACAACACACACACACACACACAACCACACACACCACACACACACACACACACAGACATGCAGGCAGAGCGGGAGGAAGTTTCTGTCCATCTCTGCAGAAGCTATAGTACTAATAATTTGGTTTCAGTGTTATCATCTCACTAGTCAAGTCAGGCTGCTCAGATAAAGAACAACAATAAAAGTCTAATGACATCTTACCACAGTTTCACAAGGCGTGAAAGAAACTAATTTACCTCCTAAGCCTCTTTGCTTTAAATTTCTTGCCCTTAACGTTTCCTTCACTGTCAGATCCCTCGTTAAAAAAGCCACTTAATCTTACAACATTATTAAAACAAATTTTGAGACTCATGAGCTAGTGTAAGACACATTAACACTTGGCCCTATTTCAACATATGCCCTGACCTTTAAAAACATTTAAAAGCAGGAAGGCAGCGGTGGAGTGACAGTGAGATATTGCTACAAAAAACAAATGTGATAAAGTTGAGATAAAGTGTTTCCCAACAAAGAAGTGAAGAACTTAAAGCAGTGTTAGTGTGCAGTCACTCAGTTCAAGTTGAATCAATAAAAGCACAGCAAACATGCAGACAGTGAAGACTGAAATACATTCTAGTGTGGTCGAAACAGGTTGTGTTTGAGCAGCACAGATAATAAGAGTTAAAGCTGCACAGCTGCATCAGAAAACATAAAGTTAAAGCACTAAAGTGATAAGGTTCTGAAGCTAACAGCACTGACCTTGGCTGAGCTCTTGAGTAGTGACTGGACCACGGCTTTCCCAATGCCCTGAGCCCCCCCTGTCACCAAAGCCACCTTCCCATTCAGAGACATGGTCCCAGCACAGCAGCAGCAAAAAGCCCTTCACACTTTGTTCTTCCTCCGTCTGCCTCTCACACTTTGTTTCCTCTGCTCTCTCTCTCTCCTTTCTATGTCTCACTGGCTTTTTCTTCTCTGTGTCTTCTCTTTCTCTCCCCGTCACATAGTCATAGGCTTTCTCACTCTTGTGTGTGTTTTCACTCCTTTAGCAGGGCTGTTTGCCCTCCCCCCTCCCCCCCCAGCTTATCAGTCTAGGCAAACAGTGTGTGTGTGTGTGTGCTGTGTGTGTGTGTGTCGGAGAACGAATAGAAGAGATGACAAGAAGGAGAGGATGAGAGGAGAGGAAAGAGAGAGAGAGAGATGAAAAAGCATTGAGAGAGAGGAAAGAAGTGAGTAGATACAATAGATAAGAGCGTGCTGTGTGTGTGTGTGTCGGAGAACGAATAGAAGAGATGACAAGAAGGAGAGGATGAGAGGAGAGGAAAGAGAGAGAGAGAGATGAAAAAGCATTGAGAGAGAGGAAAGAAGTGAGTAGATACAATAGATAAGAGCCGAGAGTTCAAAAGCAAGAAAACTCCGTAGATAGTGAATTCACATGGTATTTAGCAGCCGCCTCCTGACTTTCCTTCACACCTGCTCCCTACCCTATTTTACTCACAGCCAGGTCTTATAATCCTGTTTCCACAATCCTGATACACCTGAGCTCTTCACTGTCACTGTTTCTTGACGTGAGAAAAAAAAACATGAAAAAAACTTGGACATCAACCATTTCCGAAGCTGCCAACCTCACGTTCTCCTCCTCCTCCTCTCTACGTCCATGTTAGCTTATTGTGTGTCCTCTGTGTAATTGCTCTTACACAACATGCTTTTCAGTCATACATTACACCAAGGTTCAGGTCTCTGCATGTTGACTGTGCTGAAATAAATGGAAACCAATAACTGCTATCCAAACATGCAAGAATACTAGCAAGACCACAGTGACTCCAAGTGAACCTCCTAAAAAACAACACTGAATACATTTGGAAAGAACAAAAGAACACGTTTTTGTTTTCATGTAAACACCACTATTTATACGTTGCAAAATATCAGATTCAAATTCAGGAACATCCCTACACTACCCTCCTCCTTCTCCTTCCTATACACCCCTCTTCCCCTCGTCCTCCTTATCTTGTGTCCTTCCTCCGTTCTCGAGCGAGAATCTGGAGATGTCACCCCTCTGGTTTTTGGGATCTCCCAGGACCTGAAGTGGCTGGCTGAACACAGGCGCCGTTGATAAAAAAGGCCCAGCAGAGGATGTATTTCCTGTGCCTGTGGGGGGAGTTCAACCTGCCCTAGCAGCTGCTCATCTGTGTCACAGTCTGGATTGGACTGGCTTCCAAACAGGACAAGTGAAGTAGCAGTGACGTTTCAGATTGCAACTAACTGACGTCTGTATTTGACGACCTGGGAATGAGAAGAGCTTTTCTGACAGTAAATCCTCCTAAATGTTACACACTGGACCTCTAAAGCAAACCCTAATCCTCACTTGGTTTGATATGACCAGTAGTTTATGGTCAAATGTTAACTAATGTTGGGAAACTGCAGTTAAATATTGTCAGTTCATTGATTTTATGACTTTTCTCTATGCAATGTTCTAGCATTTACCAATATGTTGTAAATTGGCCGTTACTACGCCAAGCCCCTCTTAGTTACAGTTGCTTGTCAATCTTTTCTTTCTCACACTTTACAATGATAACAGCGGCACATTTGAAAAA